AAAGAGGGAGTGTAGCAATTCCCTAGGGAAAGAAGTACTATTTTTTTTTGTTTTTTTGGCTTTTTGGGTCACACCCAATGATGCACAAGGGTTTCTCTGGCTCTGAACTCAGGAATTACTCTTGGGCGGTGCTCGGGGGACCGTATAGGATGCTGGAAATCAAACCCGGGTTGGTCGCATGCAAGGCAAACACTCTACCCTGCTCGGGTATCACTCCATTCCCAAAGAAATACTTTTTCTAGTAATGGCTTTTATCTGGAACTCTAAGCAGTATAATGTATTATAACCTCAGAATCATTTTTCAACACACTTACATCATATTTACAAATAGAAGAGGGTGAAAGGATTTTGTAATGGACTAAGATTATTTGGACTAAGAATGTTCAATTGGACATTTATGAATATCAGGAACCAACCAAGCATTAGACACACAAGAATAAAACAGAGAACAAATGCCTTATTGCTTTTAACATTGTAGAACCAGAATATGATTATATGTTTAAGTAGTAGCACTGTCCTGTAGCACTGTCCTCCCATTGTTCATCGATTTGCTAGAGTGGGCTCAGTAACGTCTCCATTGTGAGACTTGTTGTTACTGTTTTTGGCATATTGAATACGTCACGAGTAGCTTTCCAGGCTTTGCCATGTGGCGAGAAACTCTCGGTAGCTTGCCGGGCCCTCCGAGAAGGGCAGAGGAATCAAACTTGGGTAGGCCAGGTTGGCCACGTGCAAGGCAAATGCCTTACCTGCTGTGCTAAAATCTAATTATTACAAACTTCACTAAATGCTACATCAATTCTATTCCAGCTTTTGGTTTCAATAAATGTGAGCTCATTCTTGTGAAATCACTTCTTTCTTAAAATCTTTTCCTACTGTTTAACTGTTCTCTCTAATGTTTTTGGAAACTTGATGAAAGTAAATGGAAATTCATTCAAGCTTGGCTTTATAAAGTGTTATTTAAGTGATTTGGGGGTTGCCTGTTTTTTTTTTTCCTAACCTGATATATCTGGAAACTTTTCTTCCTAAGTAAAGAATGATTTTCCTGCTCCCTTGATCTCTCTCTCTCTCTCTCTCTCTCTCTCTCTCTCTCAAATACACTCTTTCTCAAACACACACACACACACACATTTATCACTTACTTTCTCACCTCTCCCACCTTCCCTCTTTCACAGTTATCAAAGCCCAAAGAAAAAACTACCCTTGCTGAAAACAACCAAAATTCTCCTGCCAAGAATTCTCCAAGTTTGAAGTGTAATATAAAAAAAAGTACATATTAAATATCAAAACATGTTACTGTTCACTGACAAAGAGGCTGGATGTACTTCACAGCCAAGGGTGGGAGGGGTTGGGACGCTCCACTTCAGATTCCAGTAAGCCCTTAAGTTTTCAAACTATATTTACACTTAGAAAATGACCTTTATAACTTAGTTTGGTTTTCTATCCACAGTAGTAAAATTATGAGGCTTCTGTGATCTCTCAGCACTTTACATCTCTTGACGTCAGTTTTTTCACCAGTAAAGTCCCTTCTAATTACCACTTTCAAGACTCTGTCTCATTCTCTTCCATCAGAGTCACAGATGCAGAGAATCTGCTTCTGAAATTGTTGATGACCTTCATTTGACAAGATGCTGGTTCCCATCATGTCATTCCTAATGATATTTTGAGAACAGGACCTGATAGAATCAAATACAATCTCAAGTTGATCGGCCTAGGGTTTCCTCAAGGAACAAATTCTTCCTTTTCAGGGGAGTTTTTAACTAAAGCCAGCTTTGAGATGAAGTGAAGAAACACTTCCCTTTCTCAAGTGTTTCTAAATGCACAGGACATTGGTTTGGCTTTGACCTCTCAGAAACCACTGGAATTAACGGAAGTGGAGGAGGGAATGTAATTCTAGAATATTCTTAGGCTATATTTTGCAAACATTGGTCTAGACCAATCCAACCTATCCCTAAATTATACAATAGAGCCAATGTGCTTCCATCAGACTGCTTCCTGTCACTGAAATTTTAATGCATCCTAACGTTGTTTACTTAAAATCACCTGCTCTTTTTGTCAATATATTACCTAAGAGTATATTTAATCATACTAAGATAAGATATTTGCAATTTTTTTCACTTTGTAAAAATGAAAACCAATGTGTATTTAAAGTTTCTCAAAATTAGGTAACAGGAACAGCAGATCTGGAATCATGTGGTATTTGAAGTGTATTTCTGCATATCTGCAGTGTCTTCTTCAATTAGAATAGAAAGTGAAAGTTACTTTAAAATTTAAAAAGTCAACAAAGCAGAAAAATCTCTTTTTTAATATATTGAGCTTAGTATTCCAGTACCTAGGACAATATGATTTAGGTTAAAAGCATCAACATAGCTTTCAAACCTTTCACATTTTGACAAGGCTTTTCTGTGTTGATCCTCTATCAGATCTTTTGAAACAATACAACCCTAGGAGAAGAGTTCAGGAATATCAATATCATTTCTCTAAATCTTTAAGTCTTCTGGAGGGCTTTCCGCTAGTTTTGATGGCAGTTTGTGATTGTTAATACTCAAGATAAAAATGACAAAACCATATTTTAAAAAAATGCTAAAAAATAAAGCAATGAAAGTAGGTAAAGTGAGATACATGATAAACTTCAGCAAAAAATGAACAAGCAAACAAAACCAGGGGGCTTTTTTAAATTCCTTCCTGACATGACTCAAATGGATATAGAATCTATGCCATTTGTTACCAAACATTTTTGTCCTACTGCTCCTTTTTATTTTTTCCTTGAGATTTCTTTTTCCTTTGTTTTTTTTTTTATTCTTTGGGGGGAGGGGGGAGGGGGAGGCGGGAGGAGGAATAGAAGAGTGTCTGTATGTGGTATGTCATACCAAGCTGTGTTCAGGGCTTAATCCTGGCTCTGTGCTCATGGATCTGTCCTGGTTGTGCTGGGAGACCATATGTACTGACAGGAATTACTCTTGGGTAAACTGTGTGTAAGGCAACCCCCTATTGTTTTACTATTGAAAAAAATTATTTCCACCCCATCCCCTGGAAGACAAACAGACAGAAAGTGCTCCCCAATAGCACCAGAGGCTACCACTGCTCCCCACTGAATCTACCCCTATATGATTCCAGCACCTCACAGGGAGCAAAATGGTACATTGTGGGAAACGCTGGTCCAAGCAAAATCTGGCTTGTTTAGAATTTAATCAGTTCGGTACAAATTAATTTGCTTAAGTAACAATGGCAAGAAGAAATCAAAGATGGGATATTTTGAGAGTAAATATAAAAAACAAATTCAATACAATGGTGAGAAATCAAATTAGCAACCATGATTTTTTTAATTTTAATCTCTTTCCTAGAGACAAGAATAAAATGAAAGAAAATAATTTTAACCAAAGTATCCTAACAACCCCATCACAATTTTGATTTTGTACCCTTCAAATATGTTTTCTTGACATGTTACCCAGTCAGTAATTAATGAATTTATACTCTCTTCCTCATTTAAGGAACCCTTATCTTCATTTTTTATTTTATTTTAGGCACAAAAATATTCTTTAGTTTTCCTGGATCTCAGTGATGCTTTACACCACCCTGGAATTTTTGTAAATTTCTTCTAAGCAAGAGAACTGAGAGCTAGCTATTCTGAGTGACTCAAATGACTCAAAAGCAACTTTCCCAGTCTTGCTCATAGATGAAAAATTCAAGTGCCTATTTTTCAATTCACAAATTCAAAAAGTACCCTTAGTTGAAAGATTCAGGGTTAATATCAGCTTGTTACTGAGAGGGCAAATCTGGTTTCTACAGGAATCTGCCTTCTTAAACAGAACCTTCATTTTTCTATGTCTCCAATCTTTTCAACTAAATCCTACTTATTTTAAGTCTCTTGATATATACTATAAAGTAATTTATAAATCATTTAATACATCAAATGGAATTGAATCAATTACTAATATTCCATTATGATAATTGATAATGATTTAAATTAAATTGTTAGGGTACTCTAATTTTAGAGAAGTTCCCAAAAAAGTAATGAACTAACTACAGCTATGATGACTTGGTAGAATTCCGCTTAGTCACTGGGGTACTTATTTAATAAGGCTTTTCTTTAAGAAAAACTCATGACATATCATAAAGTAAACTTCTTCTTAGTTTATACTTCAAGTAAAAAGTATAGTTCCAGAAGTTTAGTTCCAGTAGTTCACCTATACATTATTATTATTATTATTATTATTATTATTATTTTAGCTTTTAAAAATTTTTTATCACATTTTTGTATTTTATTATTATTGTTTTTACTCTGGAGTCATACATTGCAGCATCAGGAAAAGGGCTTATCAGTATCCCAGTGCTTGGTGAACCTTATAGGGTGCTGGAATCAAACTCAGTACTATGATGTACTGTGGCTCAGGCCCCATCACTAATACATTATTTGTCTTATTGCTATCATTCCCTCATAAGTGTGTTAGTGAGCTTCCAGAAGCTATTATAGTATATGGTGTCTCCATCACTCTGATGGCTAATTGAATGCATTACTACGCATGTTTGTTTTTAAAGTGCATTAGTTTTCCTCCAGGACTGCCCTGGGCATCCTGGGCCGCAGCACTGCAAGAGCCCTGAAGCACCCAGCAGCTCAGTATCCTTGGGCCGTCACATTCACACTGACTCAGTTGGCCGAGTGTTGTCCAGATTGCTCCTGGGCCCCTTGTGCACCACCTGGGGTTCCCCCAAAATAAATAAAAGGATCAGTAATGATTTGGAATACAACAATATTAGCACACATAATTCACATTACCAGAGAACTCTTTAGGGTTCTTCAATAAAGTTTTATTGATCCTGAGACATAAATGTTTGATAATTGCTGTTTTAAGTTGTTCCTGTCTGAACTGGTATCAGCTGAGTTGAGCTAATAGAAAAATAGCAAAATCAGATGCAGGGGGAAAAAAAATCAATGCTAAATTAAAAATTGTGTGAGCCAGAGTTTTCAAAAGTGGGTCTCTAAAGTAAAATCCAAAAAAAAAGCATAAAGAAACACTCCAAAATAACTAATGTTAAAAAGAGACCGACACCAATTTGATCAGAGACAGACACTAAGGACATTTAATCTGTGACATGATTAATCAGAAATTTCAATAGCTTTCTTTGGGCGGTAATATGGGAGGAGAGTTTCACAAACAGAGAAAGTGCAAGTATTATCATTAACTTTACACTTTTCCCAAAATAATATCATAAACAAAATATTTTGAATTGATATTTTAATAATGATGTAATTCAAACATAAGAAATAATACAGAATTAAATAACATGAAAAGTTTGCCAAATATATAAATATCAAATTCAATAGTAAAATCAGTTTTAGTTTTGGTTCCTAGTTCACTGAACAGAGAACAAAAGATACTGAAAAAGTCACTCATTTTGTCTGTTATTACTTATGAAGATAAAATTGTCCCAGTAATTAGAACAATCTATTTGGAGCAATGGAATAATGCTCAGACATGTCTCTTATGCAATTTTCAGAAATTAACTCATGATCAGTGAAGCCAGGAGAATCATGGAATATGAAGTAGCTAACTGCTATTCAGAAAACTTAAATGTTTCTTCTACAAGTAATATATTTTCATTATACTACACTGACTTCAGATGACTATAATAGGGTCGAATCAAATGATAAGACAAATGGACAAGAAATGCATGCATTTTTAAAAAATGTGAGTTGCTTTTTAAGACTAAGAATTGCTACTCTGCTTTACAGTTAGATGAGTAAAACTTGCCAGTTTTATTTTGCAACAAATTCAGCCTATTTTCATTGTGGCAAATTTCACAGATGTAAATTAAGAAGCTATTCAGTGAAACTGGGATGACAGAACGGTAAGTTATTAGCAAAGCTATAAACAGGTAGTGGGCTCATTACAAACAGACCCATGGACCTAAGAACACCTTAGGGCAGAGGATATATACATAATATTAACGGAAAGGCAATAGGTAGTGTAGTTTCAGAGAAGGGCTTTGGTCCTTAATCTCTCCATGTTCTAACATCTCATTTCACTCTTTGACCTTTTTTTATTCCTTCTATCCTGGAATTAGAACAGTTTTTACAGCAGACTGGAAATTTATCTGACCCAACAGTTATTTTCTGAATGCAGACATGAAGTTCAAAGATAAAGTGACTAATGAAGGGCTACCACCAGTTGGGTCTAAATTGAGCCTCTCAGTTGCGCCTTCTTATTCTAAATCCAGTGTTCTATCAATATAACATGTCCTATCAATATAACACTGCAGTATGTTACAAAATCAGGTCCTACAACAGACCTGGGAGGTAAAATAATTCCCTCTTGCAACTCACACAGCACCAGGTCGCAGAGCTGTTAGTCTTAAAATTCGTAGGTGTTTTATTCCTACATCATTTTCTTTTTCTTTTGAAGGAAAACTTTTTTCTTCCTCTTCTCCTTTTACATCAGATTCAAGTAAACCAGGGAAAATCTTAAAGGCTCTGTGTATCTCCTTTAGGGCTCTAGATAAAAGAAAAAATAAAACAGCAACTTTGATCATGTGTTAGTTTCTATTCTAATAATTTGAAACGGAAATAAAATAATTAAGAAAAACACTGAATTCTATTTATAAATATTTTCTTGGCAAAGGTGAGGAAATAAATATCCCTGATCCAATATGATGTGTGTGATTGTGCTTTTCTTTAACCAATTTGAGAAAATAATGGTTTGCAAAGCCAATCAAAATAATAAGTAAAACGGCCTCTGGAGAAACAAGATGCATCCAGGAAGAACTATCTAAAATGGGAAACTTTGCTTTGGGAAGTAATGGGGGAGGAGAAGGGTTTGCTTAATCACTGGTCCAATATAGTGACCCCCAAATTTAAAACACATCTACTATATGGTCTACCATATGGCCCATCAATTTTGCACTTAGGTAGCATTTGAAAAATACAAAAAGTAATTTAAAAAGATATATGCACCCCCATGTTTAGTGTATCACTTTCTATAATAACCAAGATATGAAAATAACCCAAGTAACCCAAGTGCTCAATAAAGAAGACAAATGAGAAGACATACATGTGATATATATATATACATATATATATATTTCATCTATCTTTCCAGACATACAGTGGAGTACAATCAGCTTTAAGATAAGACACAATCATATCTTTTCTCCCAATAATAATGGACCTAGAGAGAATTGTGCTGAGCAAAATAGGAGAAAAGTCAAATACAGAAAACTTCATCCAAAAATTGTTATATACATAAAGGTAAGGTAAAGGTAAAGGCCCTCCCGTTGTTCATCGATTTGCTCGAGCGGGCCCAGTAACGTCTCCATTGGAGACTTTGTTGTTACTGTGTCTGGCATATCGAATACTCTCGGTAGCTTGCCGGGCTCTCTGAGAGGGGCAGAGGAATCGAACTCGGGTTGGCCATGTTGGCTGCGTGCAAGGCAGACGCCCTACCCGCTGTGCTATCGCTCCAGCCAGCCAAAGAAAATTGTCACCACCAGTAGATTTGAACTCCAGCAGCAGTGGATTCCCCAGGGGACTTATGTGAAGCAGGGAAAAAAATACACGCCCCCCTCTCCCCAAAATAACCCCTCAGACTATGACCACAGAACTAAAGTTAGCAAAGAGCATGGTAGCAGGGTCCTGGGCTAAAGTGTAGAGGGTTTCATTGTACCATGGTGTAACACTCACTTTGGGGCATGGTGTGGTGTCACAACATAGTATTCATAGAATGTACAAACATTTGCAATCTTATAAGGTAAGGCTACCTCAACAAACTTTAACAAAGCAATAAAGCTGGAGAGATAGCCCCAAAAAGTGAAGTGTAGACCTTCCATGCCGGATGTCTTCACACCCTGTACTTCCTTCCTGCCTCGGCCTCCCTCTCCTGCTGTAAGAGCCCTCGAGTCCCACAGATCACATCCTACCACCCAGCCCCACACAGTGCAGCATTGCTGGGCTGGACCAGTCAAGTATCACTGATAGTGGATCCTGGGCCTCTACACAGTCTGAAAGCTCTGCCCTCCCAACATTTAAAATATGAATTTCCTCTCAAAAGAAGGATGTGAACTTATAAGCACTGTAGCACTGTCCTCCCATTGTTCATCGATTTGCTCGAGCTGGCACCAGTAACGTCTCACAACAAATTGTGAGACTTGTTGTCACTGTTTTTGGCATACTGAATACGTCATGGGTAGCTTGCCAGGCTCTGCCCCACGGGCGAGATGCTCTCCGTAGCTTGCCGGGCTCTCCGAGAGGGGCAGAGGTATCGAATCTGGGTCGGCTGCGTGCAAGGCAAATGCCCTACCCACTGTGCTATTGCTCCAGCCAGGAAATTTATAAACAGGAATAAATTAAATTTAGCTTCTAATGATGTATGTGTAGGCTTTTGAGTCCAGTGTTTTCTGATCCTATTTGATTTAGTTTATCTCTAACCCAAACTTCCTACAGTTAATATCTGATATAACTGTTGTGCTCTCTAACTCCTTCCAAATACTCCTGTCACAGAATCTAAACAAATTCAGGTAACTTAATTTTCCTTGAAATCTGTCGAAATGTTGCAGTTCCCATGTCTTTCCCTCCATTTGCATAAAACAAAAGAAACTTGCATTTCACTTAACATTTATATAGTTTATGAAAGTACACGGTAATAAAGATTTAAAAAATTTGGAAATTAAGAGTAACATTTATGGGGAGTATTCTGTTTTGTTCGCCTGGAACCTTGAAGACCTGTAACAGATGGCTAAAAAAAAATGGGAACTTGAAACTATAAACTAACTAACCGTGGTGTGTATACTTACATCACAAATGTTGGCAGACTATAAAGGCTCTGCAGATAGTGAGGTTCTTTGATATGGAGATATCTGCAGGTTTTCTGAGGTTCTTTAATATAGCTAAAAATTACTCCAACAAATTGCTCTAGAGCACCTAAGCAGACAGATAATGCATCTAACCTATGCACTGCTTTGAGTAATATTGTATAAATTAATAAAGACTTTTCTACTTTTCTACGGCAGAGTCTGGCAAACTCCCCGTGTCGTACCCAATATGCCAAATACCAGTAACAATGATGGGTCTCATTCTCCTAAAGAGCCTTGAATATAATCTCAGGGCTAGGATGAAGGACACATTACTGGGGCCTGCTTGAGACAATCGACGATTAACAGGATGCTTTGTGATTTGTGAATAAAGACTTCTCTACCCAAGAACTTTTATATTTAAATTTTAAAAATACTTTCATTGAATTGTCATTGTTTTACAATACTGTATAAATTAGACACACACACACACAAACACACACACACAACTGGCAATGTACCTATGACCAAAGTTCTAGTGCCATCACCCAATCAAATTGATACCCCTTGTTCATCCTTTCAAACCCTCTTTTCCTCCCTCCCTTGTAAATACCGACTTTTTCTGTGCCTGCGTCATTTTTTGTTATGTTTGGGGCCTACTTTCTTTATTTACCGTCTATAATCAGCAAACCATCTGGCATGTGTTTGCTTTCTAACATTTCACTTAGCAACCGCTTTTCCAGCCCTCGCTCCTCTCTCCTCTGCAGCCAGACTTTTCTTTCAACTAGGCCTCTCTCACTTCCTAGAGGCCTTCCCTAGTAAAATAAAAACACATTGTTTCCTCCACAAAGAATTCTCTTTCATAGCAAGTTCTATTTTTTTTGAAAGCTTCTTTCTCATGTTTTAATAGTACGGACTTGTTGATTCATTTGTCTCTGTCCCACTACGCTCTGTGTCTTCATCGAAGGGGCGATGTTTTCTTCTTTCCACTGCCATAAAAGCAGTGCTAATGACAGGCTAAAACAGAATAGAGTTTTCCTGCATCTCGAGATGGATAGATTATTCTAGATTATCCAGGCAAGCTCATTGTAGTCACAGGGATCTTTCAAAGGGAAAGTGGGAGAAAGGAACATAAAACTGATTTTATGTAAGAAAAGCTCAACTGGTCATTGCTGTCACTGAAGATGAAAAGGAACGCTGACCTAAGATAAGTAGTTGATATCTAAACACTGGGGGTGGAGGGGTGGGAAAGGAAGTACCCCCCCCCCCCCAGGACAGCCAGAATTAATGAAGTTAGTAATTAATGAAGCTTATCCCAGTGAGACCCAGACTGGACTCTGACCTTTAAAACTATGGAATAAATTTGTGTCGCTTTAATCCACAAAGTTTGTGGACATCTGGCAAGTAAACGATAAAAATTAATGCAGCATATGCACCACTGTATCTTCTGTAAAGCATGCTGAGTGCTTTTATCGTAAGGAAACACAATTATCTTTTCCATTTTAAAGTCACAAACCTGACTTGGCCTGAAAGCACAGATCTGCTCAGTGCCAAGTTCAATAGCACAGACTAAACTATTGTTGTGCCAAAGGTTCCAACTAAAATAACCAGTAAAAAAAAAACACTTTAAAAGGGCAAAGATGTTAGAACATTGTTCAACAGAGGACTTTTTCATTCTTTGACATCTTTTTACTAATCAAATACTGACCCTAATATAGATGGATGTTCTACTTAACAGAGTGAATGGCCCAAAGCCAAGATATTTAGCATAATGTTTGTAGACAACTGGTATTTAATATCTGAGGAGTCTGTGATGTCTTCCTGTCTGACTGAAATATAAGATGTAGATCAACTTGAGTCTATGTGGGAAGGGGAATTGGAGAGGAAACGAAGAATATGCAGTCTTCAGGGTCTGATTATTAATGACTTTATTATCAGGATAGGCCTTAACACTTGGATATGATGAGTGACAATTTTTTTGGAGAGAAAGCACAGTAGGTAGGGTGTTTGCCTTGCATGCAACCCACCCGGGTTCAATTCCTCTGGCCCTCTCGGAGAACCTGGCAAGCTAACGAGAGTATCCCGCCTCCACGGCAAAGCCTGGCAAGCTACCCGTAGTGTATTTGATATGCCATAAACAGTAACAAGAAGTTTCACGATGGAGACATTACTGGGCCCGCTTGAGAAAATCGTTGAACAATGGGAGGACAGTGACAGTGACAGAAAAATAAGGCAAAATTTCTTCAGTAATTCTGATCTATGGAGTTCAAGAAAGGTTGCTGATGTTTTTCTTATATAAATGATCACATGCCTTTTGCTTAAAACCTACAACTAGAAAGCAATTATTGAGCAAAGCAAACATTCTGACTTTTCTTGTAAAGATTATGTTCTTTGTTTTTTCTTTCCAACTAATCACCAATTCACCATCATCAATTTATTGAGTGGGGTTGCTATCTGATAGAGTACATAGCTTAAAAAAGGCAAGTGACATAATGCCATACAGAATATATCCTTTTACTAACATTGCCCTTGTAAAGAGCCCCTTCAAATGCTACATAATTGTGAAGAAATGGAAGAAATGAAAAATTTTTTAACCCTATTTAAGTTCCTTGCACGCAACCCACCCAGGTTCGATTCCTCTGTTCGAGAGCAAGAAATTAAAATAGGGTTAAAAAAACTCAAATTCTGCATGAAATACTTGAAAGAAAAGTGATTATGTTGAAATAATAAAATACTGAGTATATGAAAGGAAAGATTCTTTATTCCTTGAAAGCCATTAAACTATTGTATTGTTAATTTTCTTAGAAAGTAACTACTGATCTTGTCAGAAATTGCCTCCAACTTATCGCACCTTATTTTAGAGTGCACTTTTATAGATTGCCTCGAGCAGGCCCCAGTAACGTCTCTTTCATCCTAGCCCTGAGATTATATTCAAGGCTCTTTAGGAGAATGAGCCCCATCATTGTTACTGGTATTTGGCATATTTGGTGCGCCACGGGGAGTTTGCCAGACTCTGCCCTGTGGGCAGGCTACATTTGATAGCCTGCAAGTTTGTCCAAAGTAGGAATGAGATAATAAGATGTCATAAAAAGATGTCCTGATAAGATGTCCCGCAGCCGCGAATGCAGCCGCGCGGTTCCGGGAACTGGATTTTATACTTTTATAGAAAAACCAACAAATTCAACAGTATACCCTGATGTATGAAACAAAAAGAGTCTAATTTCTCTATAAAATAATACTAGTCATTAGTACCCTTGTGTCCCAAATATATAAACTAGATTTTTAATTTACTTGCTATTTTTAATAAACATTAAAGCAGTGATTTTGATCTAAACTAATCCTTTTTTAGGTAATTTATCTAAAAAAGTTATAAAATTCACTTAACAAACTTTTTACAATAGATTTTTTTCACTACTGGGGAATACCATGGAGATAATTTTTGTTGAATTAAAGTAAAGTTCAAGGCCTCGTGCTTGTACTGCATGTGGCTGACCTGATTCGATCCCTGGTACCCCATGTAGTACCCTGAGCACCACCAGAAGTAATTCCTAAGTACAGAGCAAGGAATAATCCGTGAGCACCGCGAATGTGACTAAAAAACCAAAAATAATAAAATAAGTTCAGGAAATAATTGCTCCCTTCTCTCCTCTCTTATCTCCACAAGTACTGTAAAGACACACACACACACACACACACACACACACACACACACAACAGCACCTCTCTTTCCTTATTTTTGTTCATATCAACATTTTAGGTCACTGAGTCTAAAATCTTGATATAATTTTTACTCGTATGTTTCCAAAAGTTTTGTTTTCACAAAAGATGAAAAAAAAAAGTGATAAGAAGAGTCTCCTGCCCCTGCGCCTGGCTGCCCTCGCCGGAGCCCCTTGGAGGGGAGCAGGTTGAGCTTTCCTCCCTGCCCCGACCAGGGCTCCGGCAGCCAAAGACCTCCAGGACCAGCCACCACCATGCTGAGACCACTCTCCGCACAAATGAAGGTACTGGCAGAGGGACAAAGTCACGCGGGTTCTAGGGCCGAGATCTCCAAGCCGGGCATCCTCCACCCAGATCCTCCAAACTCCAGTAGGCGGGGGTCACACCCACCAACTGGCCCCCTGGCACCGTATAATCCCATCAACAGCCAAGACCCAGATACTATAAAAACCAGCTCCCGGAACCGCTCGGCCACATTTGCGGCCGTGCGACATCTTATTATAACATCTTATTATCTCATTCCTACTTTGGACAAATTGGCAGGCTACCAAATGTAGCCTGCCCACACGGCAGAGTCTGGCAAACTCCCCGTGGCGTACCCAATATGCCAAATACCAGTAACAATGATGGGTCTCATTCTCCTAAAGAGCCTTGATCTCAGGGCTAGAATGAAAGAGACGTTACTGGGGCCTTCTCGAGGCAATCGACGATTAACAGGATGATTTGTGATTTTGTGAAGAAGAGATCAAGAAAGATAAAGTTAAAAATAATAGGTCCGTTCAGTTTCTCACAGATCTGCTACTTAAAGAGTTGCTTTTTTAAAATGTCACTATGTTCTATAATTTTCTTCCTTTTCTCCCAACTTTTTGTGTAACCTAAATTGTGTGACTTTAAGAAACCAATGTTTCCTCAGCACTTAGTGTATGGGTCTCCAATATAAATACTAGAAATGTTATGATTTACCAGCTAGTAAATGAGACGAAATGAGATGTGTCCGTTAAAAATTTTAAAACTAGTTCAAAAATATACTCACTGAAAATATGTCACTGGATATTCAATGTAATTAACTTAATTACTCATATGTCATGAAGAATTCATAAGTAAATGGCTATAATTCTATTTACAAGAGTGAATACAGATTTAGATGTTTATTTTACAAATGAAGACAACTTGTGTATAGAGAAAACTTTTTTTTTCCTCTAAAACTAGATAAGGCATTGAACAAAAGCTCTCCCAGAAAAAAGGCATGACATACTTAGTGAACAAAGTACAGTTGTTCTGAACATACCCCTTTCTAGTGGAATTTACCCTGGGCTAGACTTCATTGTATTACATGATTTTTCTCCAAGAACTTTTCAAAATAAATTTGAATACTTCTAATTTTTTTCTTGCACTTAAAAAAAACAGTGGACAAAGACTAAAATTAATGCAAGTGATGACAATAGTGCCTTTCATGTCAGGGTGGGCCACAGGAACAACATACTTCCCAGGTCAGAAGAACAGTTTGCTAGACCCAAGTCTACATTTGACGAGTTGCGTGACCTCCAGGCTTCTCCATATTCCCTAGCAGGTCACAAGCTCTCTGGGCTTTAGTTCTATTTGGACTTGAACTAAACAATCTCCTCTACAGACATAACAAATGTTTTTATTAATTTTCTAAAAGTGTTTGTGATACTGAAGATTTTTTTCTTCTCTTATAGAATCAGAAGAATTGATCTGGTGTTATATAGGATGACGTATACAAAAATAAGTATTCAAAAGTCAATCTAATGAAAGATGTGTGTCTATGAGACATAAAGTGAAAAGAAACAGGGGAAGCATTTCAGTGATATTTTTAAAATAGAAATCTAAAGTAACTATTTGCTCTTCTTCATCCTTCTGTCATGTAAGGAGAAAACCCTTCAACCTAGGAGAGTCCCATGAAACATGGAAGTAATGGCAGCTTTGCATTATTTTAACAAGTTGTGTATTATCTTCAGAAACTAACAAATCTCTAGCTAATTTCTCTTGTTTTATGTCTCACAATTTTTGATGCAGTGTTTATGAGGTTGCAAATTTTTAATAAGTAAAAGAGAACTAAAAAAATCTCTAAGAATGGACCCATACATCCATACACTTTATGTCTCGTAGACACATATCTTTCATTAGATTGACTTCTGAATACTTATTTTTGTATACGTCATCTTATATAACACCAGATCAGTTCTTCTGATTCTATAAAAAAGTCATTAAAAAGTCATTTGATGAACGTTTATTGAATGCCTCTCATACATAAAGCATGTTAACAGATGCTGTAGGGGCATGAGATAAATTTACAGTCTACAAAAGAAGAATATACAACATAGTAACTTTCGTTATAGAGCACATGGATGTCGCCCATAGAGTTTGAGATATAGTGAGTCTGTGACACAGAACATAACAGAGCAGAGTATCTATAACATAGAAATCATTGCTTAATTAAATATTCATATTGGGCCATTTCAATTTCTTAAATGAGAGTGGCCTGTGGAATTCTGTAAAAAGAGAAGAGACAGTCACTTTCATTAATAGGAAGAATGAATACAACACCAGTGTTGAGATACTTCTTTTTCTTATTTTACAATTAAATGACTTCACAGTGACTGTATAAACATTTTTGCATTTTTTCTTATCAGCCCTTATTCTAAACATACAACATCATTAGCCTTTAAACAATCCTACCAAGCAAAAATAAAAAAGATAAAACTGTAAGTGCTAGAAAATTATGTTGAAGTGTTTTAAAATATCATCAATACTTATGCATGTTATAAACAACAAAATACATTATCATCATCCTCTTGTTGACATTTTCAAGTGTCTCCAAATTGTCTCCAAATTGTCATTAAAAAGCCATTTATTTCATTCTTTATGTTCTCAAACATGACTCACCTCTGTCCTGGTTCCGGTGACGTTTCCAGTATAATAAGATTGAGATTAATACCAGAAGAATTATGAGGGAAACAATACTTAGTATTAGTGGAACTGAAAACCATAAGCCTATGGATATTAAAGGAGGAAAAGAAAAACAATTACAGAAGAAAGTTTGAGGCAAAAAGTTAGACAAGTTTTAGACATGTTGAGCTTTCAATAAAATCTATTCTTAAATATTATGCCTTAAGGGCCATATTAATAACTTCCCCTGTTATGAATAATAGTTGATAACACCACTAACAAGTTTCATTTAGAAAATATGAAGTAAGACCTTTGAATATGTTACCTCACTAAATCTTTAAAACAGCCCGTTAGTTATTTATATTATCATCTAACATGACACAAATGAAATAAACATTATGAAAATGTGACATAAAAGTCAATTGGGCATTCTTGGGAAAGAAGACATGCTTGTTTTGAGGTCCTTATTTTGCATGTAATTTCATCCTTTGCTTTGGCTAAATGTAGTTTTTTTTTTCCACAACCATCCAAATCTATCACCAGAAGCCTTTTGAGTAATTTTTCCTGATAAAGTTCAGTTTTTTAAGGACCACAGAAAAGACAGTGGAAAATATTCCTTGGAAGCTACATGCATGATAGGAAAAGTTTCCTGTTTTTACAAGGGTTTTTTCCTTGTTTGTTTGTTTCTCTTTTTTGGAGGGTTGGGCCATACTTGGCAGTGCTCGGGGGTCATTCCTGGCTCTGTACTCAAAAATCACTCCTGGCAGTGCTCAGGGAACCACATTGCCCAGTATTGTACCTGGGTGAGCTGCATGCAAGGCAAGCGCCTTACCCACTGTACTATCTCTTGACCCTGTTTTTACAAGTTTTATTGTTCCAAAATCCTATGCCCAAAATGTAGCAATATCATTTTATAAGATTTACATTGCTGTATGCCTTCTCTGGAGTTAGTGCTTAAAAAAGGCTTTATGTATTTCTTTCTACATAAAGAAAACTGTGGGGACTCTCACTAGAGTATATCTTCTTTCTAAATTAGTTTCCTTTAGTGTCTCACCCAAAAGCTCATCTCTTATATCAATGATACCTGAGACAGAAAAACAAGCAAGAAACAGATAATTTAAGGAAGCCAGGCTTTTAAAAGGGGTAAACACCTCAGATTGATCTTGCCTTAAAAATCCTTCAGACAGTGTACATCATGTAAACATTTCATTATAAATATGCTATTTCTTTCAGGAAACCTTCTAAATCTTCCAACTTGAGATCTCCTTTCCATTTCAGACCTCTCATCTTATTCGAAGCATTGAATGCTCAGTGTGACAAGTGTCGCTTCTCCACACTCCCTAGCAGGTCACAAGCTCTCTGCTTGCAGCACCTGAGTTTTTCTAAGCGTCAACAATGTGGCATCATCAAATCTGACACACAATGGACATTGAGTCACTGTTAATAGCATGGATAATTCAATGAATGAGCAACAATAGCATTTGATATTTATGTGGGCAACTTATCATACTGGCCTTCTTTGCTTCCTCAACTCTGTTGTTTCCCTTCTAAATTCCATCCTTTTCCTTATTTGCTTGTTTGCTAAGAGGCTTATGAAAGGCTATGCCGGCAATTCACCACCTTCTGGGTGTGTGTATACAGCTGTGATCACAGCTGACTTTCCCCACATACTCTTACCTTTTTTCACCGTTTCCCTAAAGTCAGTCACAGTCCCCAGGTGCAGCACCTGACAGATCACCTCCTTCCCCATCTGACTCTCAGGATCTTTGACATGGAGAACACTGATGACAGACGTGGTCCCATTGGGGTGTGGGATAGACTCAGTAGTGTTCTCTATTCCTGACCCAGAAATCTTCCAGGAGATCACAGGGGCTGGCCGAGAATTGGCAGAACAAGTGATATTTAGGTAGTCTTCAAAGAATTCATAGTGAAGGAATACAGTGGGCTGTACTGGGACAAAAGAGAAATGGTGGTCTACCATCAGTTATGGACCCTATCTGAGCCTCCCACTCTCTTCAGACAAGAGAAATGTTCTCAAGCAAATACAATTAGGACTAGAAAGACAAGGGGGCAATCCAACCAAACTGGAGCCTCTTCAGTCTTCTTTAGTCTAGTTATCTAACTGACGTAAATATTGATCTGGTCAAACCCTGTAGCAAGGAAGGCCATCTCTATAGTGTGTACAATTAACTACGTTATGTTGTCTCCCAAGCAGCTCAGAACCTAAACATTCCGATCATCTTTTCAAGGACAATTCAACACTTTGCCTGCTTCTGAATATTCATTCCTCTCAAATAGTTTGACAGTCTCTCTCATTCAGCACTTTCAAACAGGAACCCTCACCAGGAAAATCTTAAAACCGAAACCCCATGACAGGGTCTGCTGCTTAAAGGTATATAGTCCTGGAGGCCCCCATGGATCAATGGGGTGACTCTGGTGGTCCCTTTTTCACTTGGTGTTTCACCAGGGAATAAAATGCAGAGAAGAGACTTGGAAACTCCCTACACAAATTTTACACCGGAAATTCAGAGCCATCACCAAAAATAAAAATCACACAATGACAGCAGGAGGGATCATCTTGGAGATCACCTAACTAGCTTACAGGAAAAGGACATTATTTTTTAGGCCAGCTGTATCTTGTTCCCCTTTAATAGTCCCTTGACTAATGAGTCCATTTTTTTTATATAGAATGCAGTTTATCTCTACTGAGAAGATGAAGACTTGTGTTTTCTGTGGTTGGCTCTGGAGTCCACAAGATAATAAAAGGGTAGAGCTAAGTGAAAGCCTCATCTTTCCTTAGTGGTTCAAAATATGGATAGAAGTCAGTGGGTCAGAGGATATAACTGTTTCCATTTAACAGTTTCCAGATTACTGACACCAGGAGCATGTAAGAAGAGAAGTAAAGGAAGGAAGTCAAGCAAGACTGGCATTACTAGAATTGGTGGTAGGATTCTCCGAGGTCTCAAAGAATGGCTTAGATGAAAGTTATATGGCATAACTAGAAACAGACAAGACAAAAGAATAGGCTACCAGCTTGAAAACTCAAAATGTTTGGTATACATAGAAAAATAATCCAAAGGCTATGAGCAAAGGAGAAAGGGTAACAGAAAAAGAGAACATTGTGAGAAAAAAAAAGGAAAAAAAAGCACAGTGGTAGGGAGTTTGCCTTGCATGCAGCCAGCCATACCAAGCCGAGTTCGATTCCTCCACCCCTCTTGGAGAGTCTGGCAAGCTACCAAGAGTATCTCGCCCGCACGGCAAAGCCTGGCAAGCTCCCTGTGACATATTCAATATGCCAAACACAGTAACAACAAGTCTCAAAAAGAGATGTTACTAGGCCTGCTCAAGCAAATCGATGAACAACGGAAGGACAGTGTTTGTTTTATCATTGAGAAAAATACAGTCTCTAGGAAAGAAAACAGAAAGGACAGAAAACTGAGGGAAGAAAACAGATATAGGAGGATTACATAGAGATATGGGTGTATGTGAGACGAAAAAAGGGAAATACAGAGAGAGTGAGACAGAGACAGAGAGAGTAAATTGAAAAATATTAAAAACCAGCTTAAAAATTAAAAACAAGATACTGTACAGAGCCCAGGAGACAGGACAGCAGGTGGACACATGCTCGACTCTGGTTCCATTCCCGGCATGAAGGCTTCTGAGAACTTCAGGGTATATAACCCTGGAGGCCCCCATGGATCATGGGGTGTCTCTGGTGGTCCTCACAAAACAAGGCTGAGCAGTGCCACATCCTGAAGCCCCAGCAGAGAACTATCACCAAGTTGGCCAAGGATTTCTGAATGTGAGTGGTGATCTCCTCTCCATTTTTGCTCTTAGCAGTATGTCGAAGAGGGAAATTAATATTGTCAGAATGAGTACTTCTTATTATCCCGTTCAATCCCTAGTTAACATCAGGAAGGAAAAGTGTTTTGCTGCACGCACACTTATCAGTCCTGAGAGAATGACCCTGAAGCAAAATGCACTGTCTCTGTGCTCGGAGCCATAGGTGGTAAGGTTTTAGAAACCCCAGAGAAAATCTACTTCACACTCAGTATGCAGATTTAATAAACAACCGTGCTGCATATTGTGGTCAGGATTCTTCTGCAAGAGTCAGAGGGCTGCCAACACAAAGACACATCTGAACCATACCACCAGTGGTGGATAATTTGCTTTCCCCCCTCTCCACGGTCCTTGAATGAATGCTAACAACACAATTCTTTAGGATAAAAGGTAACTGCAGACAGTGACTCAATATAACCCCTTAAATGCTTGAAATAACCATAATCACAGAATAAGCATGGAAGGATAATTCTTTTCACGGGCCTTTCTAGGGTTAGGATCTGTCAGTGAGGTATCACAACCTTGTTGCAAATATTCTTGAAAATGGTACTTCTAGTCTAATGCAACATATTCTCAGAAACTCTCACCAGAGAGGCTGAGGCAGGTGACTCCAGAGATCTGCCCAGCACCGAAGGTATTGAAGAGGCACTTGTAACACTCCTCATCCTCCAGGGTAGTATTCCAGAAGGTAAGGGTTGACTCTTTGAGGTCCAGTTCGGTGATGTTTATCTTATCCTTATAGGCAGGCTGAAGCACAACTCCAAACTTCTTGCTGAATGTGGCCATATTTTCTGGACTTAAACGCTTGATTTTCTGCCACGTCACAATCACAACTTCCTCGGGACCTTGCAGAGAACATCTTAAGGAAGCAGGTGAGTGCAATGGCTTGCTTACATTTTGAGTTACCACTTTCATCATGGAATCAGAGAAGAATATTTGTACGTTAAAATTTTAATACAACCATATTTTTATAATTCAAAGCAACATAAATTCAAGGTGAATACAGGAAGTGGTAAAAAGGCAATACTGAAAGTAACGAGGTTAAGTAAAAAAAAAACTGAATTCAGTAAATTACCCCGATACACACACACACACACACACACACACACACACACACACACACACACAAGGGCAGCAGAAGTGCTGGCTCCTATCAAGAAAAACTTGTGAATATCAAAATGTGAGACATAGAGATACACAGGTCAAAGCTCCAGGAGGTTGATGGTACCAGGGAATTTTTGACAACCAAGTGATAATCCATACATTCAACATTTTAACCAAATGCAGTGCAATATATAAGGCATGGCGATAATGTTTTTCTTCCCTAATGCCAGTCACTCATATTGTTCAAATATATAAACCAATGGGAAATCTCAATATAATAACAAAAAATCAAACATTTGAGAAATTTAAACAATGAAAGAGATATAAAAAGCTTCACACGCTTATACCAAATGAACAAAAGTCCTAAATCAATAATATTTTCTATTTCCCATCTTTTGATTTTTCCCCACTTAATCAACAATATTCAACTTGAATAAATGTGACATATGTGTAAAAAGGAAGTAGAAATTCAATAACAAAATTAGATAAGTGCAAAATGAGAAATTAAAAATCGCAATAGATTAGCTTCTTTGGATATCACTGAAAAATAAACTACTAAGTAGAAGTCCCGATCACAGAACTCTTCCAGTGTCCAGAACAAAAATATAAAAACTTGGAATGAATTAAAGAACATAAAAAGAACTGGAAGTTTTGTTTGTTTTTGTTTATATTGGGGTCATAGCTGGTGGTGCTCAGGGCTTACTCCTGACTCTGTTGCTCAGGGACTACTCATAGTGGTTCTCAAGGACCTTATGCTGCCCTGAGAATAGAACCAGGAAGGCTGTATGCAGAGCAAGACCCTTCCCATCTGTCCTCTCTCTCTGAGCCCCACAATAAGTGATTCCTGAGCTCAGAACCAGGGTAAGCCCCAAACAAAACAACAACAAAAAGCTAAAGGAACCTCAAGAAAATGCAAAGCTTAACAACTATAATAGAAGAGTTTTCTATAGTAAAAAAAATGTATAAAGCAAAACAATCTAAATGTATATCAATGTTTATAAGCTTTTACTGATATTGAATATAACCTGATATGTACCTATAAGTTTCATAAATGTCATCCAAAAGAGAATACAAATCTTTTCAAACAATGTGTTGAACATCCCTAAAACTTGAACTTGCAATGAAGCACACTAAGGGCTGCCATTCCACACCTGTAACACTGTTCACAGCGCAACTAAAAGAAACACACATACTTTAACTCTCCAGTTAATCCAGAAATCGCAGAGAAAATTATAAGTGACGATAAATGTCAATTTGAAGTATATTAAAGTATAAAATCCGAACAAAATGCTTCTCTGAAGGAATATTTAACTGTAACTTCATTAACAAGCAAGAGAGATCGAAAGACAAATATATACATCCAAACATTAGATATCTCTGCCGATCCAAATAGAAGTGAATTGAAAACACAAAGCACAATTTAATAAAATGGTATACAAAATGTCATAGTTGAAAACACCTAATTCTGGGGCTGGAGCAATAGCACAGTGGCTAGGGCATTTGCCTTGCATGTGGCCGACCCGGGTTCGATTCCCAGCATTCCATATGGTTCCTGAGCACTGCCAGTAGTGATTCCTGAGTGCAGAACCAGGAGTAACCCCTGTGCAACGCCAGGTATGACCCAAAAAGCAAAACAACAACAACAACAAAACACCTAATTCTGCCTTTTGAAGTGATAGGATGTTGACTAGTGGATTAGAAGAGGGCAGAAACACAGCACAAAAAGAAAAACAACTTTCAATACTCAAGACCACAAAGGATGGAGAGATCTGTGTTAACGATGAATGCAAAACAAAACCCCTGAGCACCTGATTGGTTCCGTTCTAATGAGATAGTACAGACTCTTCACATTTAACTGATGTGAAATGATCTGGGGATAACAGCTGCTGTTAGGATTGAGGTTTTGTGAAAGCCTTTGCTGAGATTTTGTAGAGCAGACACATGAAGAAATTATTGGTTTTAGAATGACAGTAAGGATGAAGACTAGAAAAGGGATCAACACCAGTTTTTGGGGATTTTTTTTTTTTTTTTTGCTTTTTGGGTCACACAGGGTTTACTCCTGGCTCTGCGCTCAGGAATTACCCCTGGCGGTGCTCAGGGGACCATATGGGATGCTGGGAATTGAACACAGGTCGGCCTCGTGCAAGGCAAACGCCCTACCCACTGTGCTATTGCTCCAGCCCCTCAACACCAGTTTTAACTTTGTGAGTTATATCTCACTTAAACTGTGGAGAAAATAACTGAATGGAAAGAAATGACTGGAAGAACTGACTCCATGGAAAGTTTAGCTGCTTATGGCATTCCATTTAGATCCCTCTCAGTGAGTAAATCCTGTTGCCGGGAGTGGGGGAGGCAGGCAGTAGCCCTTCCTGCAGCAGTATGACCCACCCAGGAAAGACAAATGGAGAACAATGCAAGGTGAGATTAGGTCAACAGCAAAATGAGGGATGGCTTCTGTGGACACAGCAGTCTGACATAGTAGGAAATCCAGGAGGTGAGGAAGCGGTGCACATACATGTTTTATGCAATAGATGTGAACCTGCACAACAGCTCTATTGAACTATTTCTTCTGTAGAAGAAAGGCACGTCCAATTTTAAAAATTTGGATAAAGATATCCAATTTTAAAGATTTCCAAAGCATTCCAAATTTCCAGACAGTTGTATTTACTTGTTTGTCTCAAGCAACTGCACGAAATTACTATCTTTAAAAACTTTTCAGCTGAGGGCCAGAGAGATAGCACAAACACATGGTTTACTTGTGGAGGTCCTGAGTTTTACCAACACCACCTGGTCCCCAGAGCACTGCTGGTTGTGCCTTGATAGCACCCCCTCCACCAATGCCACTGAACCCTATGCGGTACCGCATCACTTGGGCTGGAGTGGCCTCCAGGTAACAGAGCAATTCTTACGAAGCTATTGCTTAAAAGAACAAAAGCAAAAATAAAACAACAATTAAATTTTAAGGGAGAAAAAGTGTATTTTGAATTTAGATTATTTTTCACATTTTATCTGCAGAATGGCATTTTTTATTACTATTCTGTGTGTGTGTGTGTGTGTGTGTGTGTGTGTGTGTGTGTACACAGCTTTATAAGAATGCAATGGGCCAGAGAGATAGTACCAGGGTTAAAGTGCTTGTCTTGCACATAGTCAGCCCTGGTTTATCCCAGCACCACATCTGGTTCCCCAAGCACTTCCAGGAATGATCCCTAAGCTCAGAGCCAAGAGTGTATCTTGAGAACAGTGGGGTGTGCTCCCAAAACTTAAAAAAAAAAAGAGAAAAACAGTGGGGGGAATGAAGTGCAACGCTTTTAAGGAATGTTACCAATACCACACCCACCACTAAGGTGCCACATTCTACAGGGAAAAGCAAGTTTGGTAAGCAGATAAAACAACTCCCACTCTCCATGCAAATCACATTCCATATTTCAATAATTCGTGCAAATGAGCCACCACAGCACAAACAATAGCGGCCATTGCCTCCATACCAGAAACTGTGTTTGCTGGCTGCTAGCAGGGAAATTAGTTTCTTTACCTTTTGCCCTACATAGCATCACTGCTGGCCAGATCCAAATCAGTCTGCAGATAGATCTCAATACCTGGAGACAGAAAGTACAGAAATGGGCGTTTGGATATAGATAAGTCAAGGAAGCGTCGATCTAACTGTCTTTGCAGGGAATGTTGTAGTTAACCACAGAGAACTTTGGTTTTGTGCAAGTGGAACCAGGGACTATAAACGGGAATAATAACAGTTTGCTCAGGAAACGAGAAGGGAGAAGCAGAGCTCTGCCTCCTCCATTACAGTAATCCAGAGCAAGTTAAGGCCTTGCTCCAACAACCATCATTTTCAGTAGAGCAACGTCTCACAGACACAGGATCATGGAGAAAACAAATTGTCATAAGACCACAGAGACGATAAAAGTTAGAAATCTTTCCCTTCTAACATAAACTCTATTTAACAATGTATGTAGGGAGGGAGGCAATTTTCAGAAATGCAAGATCGACTGGAAGTCTGTGAGGCAGATGTCCCAGCAAATTCTACAGATCTGATATAAACTGTTTTAAACACTAGGGATGGGCTTCTTTCACCTTCTTTTTATTTTCAAATGCCTGAGAGACATGTTTGAACTTTTCAAACATGTGTGGTTGTGCACATCACTTTTGCATTTTGTTATAAAACGAGGATGGAATTTAAACAGATGACTTCTATCTGCAATAGACCCTGCTCACGTTCACTTGGTCTACAGGGTGGCGTGTTCACTCCGTGAGTTACAGACACGAGACAAGAAATGTAGCTTCCCTCTCATTTTTGTTTTGTGCGGTGAAAGACATTTACAAGATATCTGTTCTACGTTTCTCATGTTTTCCCAATTCTCTGCTCCCTGACTCTCTGAGGGGCACAGTTACATTCTAAGTCTTTCCACCTATACTCCACACACTGACCTCTGTTGTATACTGTTTCCTTGCTTTGATGGGTGAGCTTGCGACTTTCCATATCCTCCCCACATCAGAAAAGCAAGGTTTTCTCACTTATTTTCACTCTTGAATTTTAACACCTACATGTATAAGTTCTTGTTACTGAATTCTTTTTCTTTTTACATGCAAGATTTTTCATGTAAGATTTTTCTCCTGAAATGCCCTGGACATGTGGGGGCAAGCATAAGCCCCCTTCTCCAGAGTACTGATGTCTACGCTCAGACATTACTCAGTCCCTCTCTTTTCTCCAGACCTCACAAATACACATTTCTCCCTCAGTAGAAAAAGCTGCTTCTTTTTTTTTTAAACTTTATTTTTTATTTATCTTTTTTGCTTTTTGGGTCACACCCGGCAATGCACAGGGGTTACTCCTGGCTCTGCACTCAGGAATTACTCAGGGACCCTGTGGGATGCTGGGAATCAAACCCGGGTCGGCCGTGCTCAAGGCAAACGCCCTCCCCGCTGTGCTATCTCTCCAACCCCCGAAAGCTGCTTCTTTTACCTTCTTGTATTCTTCCCATCAACTCTTTTTGGAAACAAGTCAAGTCTTAGAGCCTTTTAGATTTTAAATCGAAGCAATTAGTCTCTTGCTATTTCAAGCAATGACTTCAGAAATAGGCTTTCTTGGCACACTTATTCTACTCTATTTTTAAAAACCATCATCCTCTTGTCACATGTTATAATGTGCACTCTCTCGAAGACTGTAATGAAGAACGTAGAACAGATCCACTCTGACAGTGAAAAATCCCTTTGAAGGCAACAGAGAAAGCAGACAAACACCAAAGTTCAACATGGGTAAACTGGGAGCCAGAAATACATGAGAAACAAAACCATAGTGATAAAAGCCAAGTGAACTAGAAGGAATGTCTTGATATTAAATATATGTACCTATCTATTTGGCCAACTTGGTTTTGGGATAGCACAAGTAACAGATATATGAGTTCCTACAGATCTCTTTAACACTTGGAGATGCAGAAAATAGAATTTCAAATTATTTATTAAATAAGATAGTTTATGTAACACTCCTAGAATGGAAACTGATAAATAAATGGTTTTGTTATCTCATTAAGTCACTATGAGAATCAAGTATTTAAAGCACTCAATGCAGTGCCTAATAATATGCTAAATGTCAATAACTATTAGGTAGTTTAAAAATTCATTCATGAAACCTTCCATGAGAAGCACAAAAATAGAAATAGAGACGCCCACGTCTCACTGGACAGTTTCCCACTCAGCCTCTATATTGTCCCTATACATATATTTCCCCTCCAAGTTTTCTTCATTTAATTCTGATCCCAGGACATGCAGTCACGTAAGCTTGGAGAGAGAAATTAACAGCAGGTAGGGCATTTGCCTTGCATGCGGCTCACCGGGCTGACCTATGTTTGATTCCTCTACCCCTCCCAAAGTGCCTGGCAAGCTACGGAGAGTATCTTGCCCGCATGGCAAAGCTTGGTAAGCTACCTGTGACATATTTGATATGCCAAACACAGTAACAACAAGTCTCACAATAGGGACGTTACTGGTTCCACTCCAGCAAACTGTTGAACAACGAGAGGACAGTGACCCATCACTGCTTTTCCTTCAATCTTTTTGTCATCTTCCTCTGAAAGATCCCCATGAGAATTCAAAGCATCTAGCATGTAGGTTGATGGCAGCTCTCAGACCATTCTCCTTTGTTATGAGAAAATGAAATAACAGCTGTGTGGTCTTGCATATAACACCAGAATGGGGGGGAAAAAAACACCTTGAGGTAGAACTTGAAGTTTTCTTCTTCTTTTCAAATTAATTATCTTTAAAAAAAACCTACCGACGGAAATAAAAGCCCCCTTTTTCATTTGAGCATGTCAAGTAGGAGCCTGAAGGGGAGCGTCACACTCCCATCCAGCAGGGAGCCCAGAAAGCTGGGGTCCCTCTACCAGCTTGCAACGAAAGCACCACAGTTCCCCCTCCCAGCCCAGTGCCTTCCTACCCCGAAGAAAACAGAAACCTCAAACCCACCCCCCCAAAAAAAAGAAAGAAAAAAAATGAAGAAAACAGTCTCCCAGAGCCGCACCAGGAGATCCCTTTTGCTTTGGTTGTTGGACTCCCAACAACCGCCTCTTTTATAAAGACAAAAAAAAAAAAAAAAAACCCAAATATCTCTTTGCTCAGCGTCCCAGACCAAAGCACCGCAGCGACACCGACGGACTTCAGACCAGACACCCGGGGAGATAGACAGACAGACGGACGGACAGACGGACAGACGCGAGGAGTCGCGCCCCTTGGGGACCCCAGAGCAAGACCCTCCTCCCTGCTGCCCTTGTCCTGGGCGGCCCCGCTCACCAGCTGCTCCATCGCGCCAGCAGATCGCGGAGTCTCCGGCGCCACCGAGCCTGGTCCCCAGGCAGGACTTGGGAGCAGCGTCCAACCAACGCACTAACGGCCCCAACAAAGGGCAACGCTCTGCCGCCCCCTGTCGAAGCTTGGCCCTGCCCGCACGCCCCCTCCCCCCGCCCCCCACTTCTCATCCCTGCCCCTACAAGCTGCAAGGATTTCCCCGTCAAAATCGCCTTTCCTCTGTTATTCTTAAAAATAATTTGCATTTCCCCAAAGCATCGGTTTCGGGATGGGGTATACCAGAGGGGGCTGTGAGAGTAGGAAAATCACCTTTTTTGTTGTTTTGTTTTGTTTTTTGTAAGTAAAGAAAGAGGGGAAAATGGAGAAGTCCAAGAGGAAGACTTCTCCCGCCAGAGCTTTCTGAGCCGTGAGGTGGCTTAGGAGAAATAGTTTCTAGAAATGCGAATTGTTTCCCCCAAATGTTGCCAGTGAAAATGAAAACAGATGTTCTGAAGCTGAAACGAACCAGCTGATACCCGGTTTTTGTTGTTTATCTTTTTTTTTTTAAGCCACATGTATTTTCAATTGGACTCAAATGCATTATTCAAAATATTATTGTCTTTGCAATCATTCCACTTGTTTAATGATAAAAGATTATTATTTTAGCAAATTCCAGCATTCTTGGCTCTGAGAGGGAGGCTGAGTTGGAGGAAATCCTTAAAATTCACCTCCTGAGTCCCTATTTGCCGCCTCCACCCTCTGACTAGGTCCTGGGTCTATACAAGGAATCTTATTATTTCTTTTCCACTTTATTTGTGCTCTGATGTCTAAGAAATCTTGGTGCTTGTATTTCTCCCACACCAGGACGTGACTTCAGGAGTTGGGAGAGTCCATGCCACTGACATCGCCCTATTCTGAAGAGATTATAAGACAAAAGTGAAATACTACAGACAATTTTGTAGGTTTCATCCCCAACATTTTACCTACAATGTTGTAGGGTTTACCACACTTATTCTCAAGGTTCTTGAATGAAGCATATGGCCCTTATGTAGGGTTTGCCACACTTATTCTCAAGGTTCTTGTATGAAGCATATGGCCCAACTATGAGACAGGGATAACCTCAAATTTTATGCCAACATTAATTATAGACATGAAAGTATAGGAAATATGTCACAGATGTGAGTGGAAAGTCAGTCAAAGGAACTTATGAATAATATTACACACAATGCCACCACAGGACAAGTTTTAAATTAATTCACCTTACCTACGTGTCATGCTCCCCAAAACCTCAGTGAATTCCTGAAATATTCTGTTATTTTTCAATACTTCTATACCGTTCTCACAATTATGTCAATGGTGGGGGAAATGAGTATGCTTTCACACAGCGGGTAGGGCTTTTGCTTTGCATGCAGCTGACCCCGGAGACCTGGGTTTGATTCCTTCACTCCTCTGGGAGAACCCAGAAAGCTACTGAGAGTATCTCGGCCGCAGGGCAAAGCCTCACAAGCTACCCGTGATGTATTAGATATGCCAAACACAGTAACAACAAGTCTCACAATGGAGGTGTTATTGGGCCCGCTTGAGCAAATCGATAAACAACGGGAGGACGGTGACAGTGACTTACATAACATTTAAAAAGATTAATTTATAAAGTAAATTAGACACAGTAAAGGACCAGTAGTGCTAATTAATAATAAAAAAACAGACATCAAATATAAAAGTTAAAGGAATAGAGTCTCTCTGACTCAAAATATTTTATTATTATGCAAAGTTCTCCCACAGCCCCTCTCAGAGAGCCCGGCAA